CTAAAGTTTTCTAATTGATCTTGCATATTTGGTATTGGATATCTATCTGTGACTGTGACAGAATTTAATGGATGATAGTTAACACATATTCTAAGATCTCCTGTCTTTTTAGATACAATTACAATTGGAGAGGCCCATAGACTTTCTAAAGTTTGAATGATTCTTTTTTCTAACATTTTGTTAATTTCTTTTTCCAAGAAATCGTTTCTTTCTTGATTTAATCAGTATAGAGGGTAGGCGATAGGTCTTGTATTTGGCTTCAATAGAATTTAATGATTAATAAATGGGGTTTATCCAATGTCAACTCCTCGAGTTAAAATAATTTCTTTTGGTATAAGTGCTTTAATTATCTCTTGTTCTTCTGTCTCTCCTTCAATATTCATACTGTAGAGGGCAATAATTTCTTCTTCTTGATAAGGCTATTTGATACATTCTAATTCATCACTTCCCTCATTTGGATCTGAAGAATAGTTTTTATCATTTTCTATTTGAAAAAGATCTGTCTCGTATAGAGCTTTAACTGTTTGACCATTAATTTTAACTCTTAATTTATCTTAATCAAAATATATTCTTGCATCAAATGCTTTAAACCAGTTTATTCCTAATAATAAGGTATCTTGAATTAACTCAATCATTTACAAATCGACTGAGAATTTGGCTTCTTACAAGATAAGGGAGACGGAGGTTATAATTCCCAATGATCTTTTACGTTTATCATCTGCAGTTACAAATAAAATGTCAGAAGACTTGTCTGATTTAATGTTGAGTTTGGAAGCCAAGGTAGTTGAGATTATGTAGGCAGCTGCATCTGAAACCAAAATAGTTTCTATTGGATTTAATTTGAACCTCATAATACATCTAGCAGCGGTGTATTTATTATTGTCAGTTACATAAGTTTGTGCATGGTTTATTCCAATTTCCATTTCCTTTTCAATCTTATCTATTTTGTCTTTCACCTTTTGAAGGTATAAAGGATTCCTTAGCAATTGTCCGAAGGTAATATTAGCATCATGACGTTTAAGATCTTTAACTATTCTATAGGGTTAGTCATAATGAGATTTTTTTGATATAAATTGAACAAGTGGTTTTGGCGAATGAGGTGAAGTCTTATTTTATTGTTCTTGAGTAGATTCAGATCGTGGTAATATAATCTGAATAGTTTGTGATAAAACTGATCTGGTAGTCATATAAGATTCTTATTCAGTTTCAGCTTCTTCTGTTTTTGCCAAATTAACATTTCTTTGCTGATGACCATTATTATTTCGATTGTTAGATTGAAAGTTAGATCGAGATTGAGTTTGAGTTCGTGGTTGGGCTTTGGTTATTGTTTCTGATTGACAATCTCTGACCATATGTCCTTCTTCTCTACAATTCCAACATTCAAATTTCTTCTATTCATAATTACGATAGTTCCTTAGATTTTGATTTTGATTATTCCAATTATTTTGTTGATTTATTTGTTGAATTTGAGTGTTAGCCAAATTTGCAGTTAGTTGAGAGACTTGTTATTGTAATAGCTCTATTTGATTTGCCATGACTTGTTGCTGTTGAATAGGTTGAATGATAATAAAACCTGTCTCAATTTCTTTAGCTTTGGTTATAGCGACGTCTAAATTATTTGGACTATATCTTACTACCATTGTCATGATATGTGAGACTAATCCTCTGATAAATTTACTAACAATATATTGCTGTCTAAAGCCTCCTACAGGGTCAACTCATTGAATTAACATTTTGTATTTTTAAGCATAATCAGCTACATTTTATCCTGGCTGTTGATGAATTAATTCTAAATCAGTCATCCATTTATTTTTCATGGTAGTATTAGCAAAATAATTCAAGAAATGGTTGGTGAAGTTATATGGACTTCCTTGTAAAGCCCAATTCTGAAAGGTAGGTTGATTTTCAT